GGCACTGACCCTCCCCGGCGAGGGCGTGGGGATCCGCGTAGACCTCCTCCAGGGCATTGGAGCCACTGGCCAAGCTGCTCTTCAGCTTCCTCAGCACTGAGGCACCCGCCGCCAGCCGGAAGAGTCCCTGGGCATAGGGTGAAGAATGAAAGGATGCAGGGGGCTGGCCCTGGCTGCATTTTGGGGGGGGAGGGCAGGCATGGGGCAGGCTGGGGGGTCACGAGCACTGCTTACCTCCTCCCTCATGCCTGAGGCCAGCAACATCATGACGCAGGCCTCGATGGGGAGCGCAATCTCCCGGCCCAAGCTCTTGAGGTGTGTCTCTAGGGACACGCCGTAATACCCTGCAACTGGGGTGTTTGCAGTGAAGGAGGGCTCTGGAAGAGAGGAGGGAATGTCAGGAAGACTGGAGGAGGCTGGGGCTTTAGCAGGTCAGAGCAGCGACGTCTTGCTCTGAGTCAGGTCTGGCTGGGCGAGGGCGGCAACCCCAACCCTCCTCCTCAACCTCCAATCTCTCTTCCCACCAGCCCAGTGTAGGAGGCAGCAGCAAGTGTAGAGAGAGAAAATCTGCCTTACCCAGCTTGCTGGCCACACTCATGTCCCCTGGGGTCAACTGCGGCTCACCCCAGGCTGTGTGGAGAGCAAAGTGGTACCTGTCTGGCTGTGGGCTTCCTTCAACTCTGCCAGAGCAGAGTCCAGAGATCCCAGGGACTGCCGGTGGTATTGGGCTTGGATTTCCATCAGCTGTCAGACAGAGTACACACAAACAGTCCTCAGTTTAACACTGGCCCCTCTTAGAGAGACCCTGTCCCTGGACACTGCACCCGCATGGAGGTAGGGTGAGGAGAAGCAAAGATCCTGGAGGAGTAAAAAGGGCAGCTGCAAGGAGGACTCCCTGTCTGGCTGGGGTCTGTGGGACTGTGTCAGTGCTGAGGGGTAGGGAACAAACTGGAGAGCAGGGATAACTGGGCCAAGCCACCCTGTTTGCAGTCAGCACTAGTGGCAGCATGCAGTCACAGTGCATGGAGGCAAAGGCCTACTCTGGGCATCTGCTGGTGCGTGAGGACTGTCTCCTGCCCTGGCTGGAGGGCTTGGTGTGGACAGGGGCAAGGCTGGCTCTGATTTGTGCCTTGGGCATATCCCAGGAGATGTTCATGTGCTAAGGAGAGGTGTGAAAGCAGGCGGACAGGACTTACTCTGATAAAGTAGCTGGCATAGCTGTCCTCTTTAGTGGAGAAGTGGTAGAGGTCAGCCATGTACTCGTCCTGCAGGAGGAGAGACAGCATAGAGCAACCTTCCACCTCACCCTTGGCTCCCCGAGGAAGAGGGGCTGTCATCATAAAGCCTGCATGAGCTGCCCAGACCATGTGCTCTCCTAGAAAGGGGTTCCTGGTGTCCTGGGAGGGCACGCAAGGACGCAGGCCTGGCTACAAGGCAATGCAAGAGGACGGCAGGCTGGGATCCCATTGAGTTCCTCCTCACCGCTGCTCCTTGCATTCAGGTAACAGCAACGATGGGCCCTACGATCAGGGACTGCACAAGAGGCTGTTATGGTTCTGGAGAGTCTGCTGGCTCTGCCAGAAGAGGCGCAGGGCATATTGGAGAAACAGGGCAGAGGTGTAGAGAGCTGATGTGATTTAGCCCCCTCTGGCCCAGCAGGCCCCAGCTCAGCTGGGTCCCAGTCTGGGAGGATCCTGTAAGTTCCCTGCTCCAACCCCTGGAGTCTCCTCTCTGCGACAGCTACGCTTGCAATCCTTTACTCTTCTCCTTCCCTGGGCTTGGGGCATCTCCCAACTTCTGCTCCTTGAGGGACTCATTTGCTTTCAGAGGGTGAGCTGTGCCAGCTGTGTCGGTCTGGCTGTGTTGCTGTCCAGCTTGGTGTGTGGGTTGCCTTGGATAGGGCTGCTGGAGCCGAACAGGTCTCCAGCCCTGGAGCAGCCCCACCACAGTGGCTGTTCTTACCCTGCACTGCTCCACCTTCCTCTTCACCTCCTCCTCCTCTTCCTTCAAGTTCTCCAGTTTGTTGGCAGCAGAAGAAGCCCCAGGGCCGGTGCCAGTGCTTGTGCTGTTGCTGGAGCTTTTGGCAGCTTGGTTCAGCCTTTGGGATGGGAAAGGAGAGCCACATCCAGTAGCAGTGACAGAGGGACAATGGATGGGACAAGTGTGAAGGGAGGGTACAGGGACCACGGTGGGGATGGGAAGCCACTGTAGCCCTGAGGTGGTTATCCTTGGCCAGCCAGTGCTTCTTATTTCCCTGACCCAGAGGAAAAATTGCTACTGCATCAGGGGTGTGATCCAGGTCAGAGGAGGGTTTTCAGCACGGTTTCCCAACACAGCTGGGATCTGGGGGACCCTTCCCACATCATGTTTCCAAGAGGCCCCAATCTCCCCTCTTCTTTCATCCCTCCAGCCAAAGGGAGCCTGTGAGGCATGGTGAGCAGTGCAGAAATGAACTGAGAGAGGCCTGCGGCTGCCCCATTCTCCCAGAAAAACACCCTGCTCCTGCTGTTAGCTAAGCCTGTGCTGGGAGGCCTGGGATACCCAGCAGCAGTCAGAGCATGGTGACTCCAGCTGCACCAGATGGTGATGGGGCATTTTGCTGCCTTCAGTACTGGCATTGCCGTTCTCTTCTGTGCAATCAAGCTGGCCGTTCAGCCCAGGTCTGGATGCACCCACAGAGACAGGCTGGCTGGGAGCTTATGTTCCATGCAGCTAGGAGCAAGCTACTGCCTCTTTAACATCACTCCAGGCCCTGGGAAATTTGCTCCCCTGGCCTCACCCTGCTGGCAGCATGCAGTCATCTTTCTCTCTCCTTCAGTCTGGGAGCTGGGCTGTGCCCAGCGTGCCCTGCATTCCTCTATGGTGTGCCCCCTCGCCACCCAGTGCCTCGTCGTGCCCTGTACCTGCTCTTGATGGTGTTCCAGTCAGAGATCAGCTTTTGCAGTGTCTTCTTGCGCTTCAGGATGATGGGAAGCTCTTCCTGCGAGAAGAGCAGGAGTTGCTGAGCCTGCCCTGCCTGAGGCATGCAGAGATGCTTGGGGTAAAGAGAGCCAGAGCGGGCAGAGGAACACGGGAAGGGAAAGATGAGACAGAGACAGCAGAGGAGGGAGTGTGGCCAGGGCTACCTCGCTGAGCTTGTTCAGTGGCTGCAGGACGTCACGCTCCAGGGTGATCTCAAACTCAGCTAGGATTTTGGCCAGTGAGCTCTGTATGCAACAACCCATCTCCAGGGCTCTCCTGCATGGGGACATGAAATGACTGCAGACCAGAGCCGTCTCCACTCCACCACCCCTCTGTGCACCCATACCCATGAGGGGCCGGTGGGGGGACCCAGTCCCCAGTACCCTCTGCACTTGGAGACCAAAGGCACTGGCTGTCCCATCTTCCGCTCCTACGCTGGTGTTTGGTCCCTGCCACGCTCTGAGGAGGGAGTTTGACAGCTCAGCTTGGTCATGAGAACCCCAAAGCCAAGACAGTGGCACTGCCAGAATTTGGCATCTTTCAGGGTCACCCCAGCCCTTTTCCCTACCCGCACTTACCCAAGGCTGGACTCCGTGTCCAGTTCCTTGAAACTCTCAGCCATTGTCATGGACAGAGCCATCAAGGGCAGCTTCTTCTACACAGAGATAATGATTATGGAAAGGAGATGATGAGCTGATGTGTGGCAGCTCCCGGCCCCCAAGGCACACTGCTACCAGCATTACCACCCAGGAGCAAGGGCTGGCCAGCTGCCAAACCGTGAGCTGGACCTCCACATCTTTCCCTGGCCACCCAACCCCACTGGCCTTGAGGCCTGAGGAAGCACCACATCTGTCCTTCTGATGTGCCTTCAGACAAAGCCAGGATCCAATTAGCTGCACAAGGCACCAAGGCTCCATAACTGGTTAGAAATCCTCCTGCTTTCTCTAACGTAACCTGCTGTGGAGGACTATGGGACTGATGAAGACCTCCTCCAAGCCCAGCCCTGCCATGATTTCAAATGTACAGAGCAGTTTCCTAAACATGAATGGGTAACCAAGCTAAGGCTTGTTAGGTTGGCAAGGAGATGGGCCCACAAAATCATGTGGTGCCTAGGGAGAGTGAAGGGGCATTGACTGTTTGCAGTTGCTTTCCAGATAAGAGCTGGTGAGCATCAGTTGGAAATAGGGTGGCAAGTTCAACTCAAAGAAGAGGAAGTGATTGTGCACGCAGTGCCCAGTTGCACTGTGCCCCTATGGATGCCAGAGGTTCACAGGGATTCAAAAAGTGACGTGGACAAAAGTTTTCTGGGGGGGCTATTAAAAACAAAAACACGGTCTCTGGCCCAGGAAGCACCTTGGCCTCAAACCACTGGTGGCTGAGAGAATGACCAGGAGACACTTGCCCTGCTCTGCTCTCACTGGACATTTGCTGGTGGCCACTGCTGAAGGAGGACCTAGGTTAGGTGCACCTTTGAGCTGTGCTGCACTAGCCACCCTTATGCAGAGCCAAGGCTCGCCATGCAGGTGGGGGCATGGCGTCCCCTTTGCTGGCAGGGCACAGAGCAGGGGTAAGTGTGGGGAGCGGCACGGTGGGAAGGACTGTACTTACCACTCGCTTGTCCATCTCCGACCCACACTGTCCCTGCAGACAGGCCTGGAGCCTCTTGGACACACTGTGAGCTGCTCGCTTGGCAGGCTCAATCCTCTGCTCGATCTGGGGGTGGAAGGGTAGGATGGCAAAGCCCTGTCTCCAGGCCCCCGGGGTAGCCCTGCCTGGGGACAGCTAGCCCCATGGGGCTCTCAGCAGGAGCAACATCTCTTCTCCCAGCGTGAGCAAAGCTCTCCTCTGCCTTTTGCCATCAGCTATGTCACTCAAGGGGACAAAACCCTGCAGGCCTCATTTGCCTCCTCGCTGTGCCAGTGCCGAGGCTCTCCTGGCCTCCCTCCGCCTTGGCAGCACCACAACACCTTTCTGGCAGCATCAGCTGAGCCACTGGTACAGGAGCAAACCCTGCGACCCAGCAGCACAATGTTGGGGCCCTGGGACCATCTCTCCACAAGCCAACCCCAGCTCTGCACACACTGCCTCTAGGTCCAGGAGCCAAACTAGCACAGCATCATGCCAGAGCCCAGCACATCCCACGTCCGGGGCAAATGCGAGTGTGGCTCATGGCCGAGGCTGGTGCCATCACAGGGTTGAGTCAGGCTCATCCCTGCATAGGCAGCTGGGGAAGCCCTTTTCTGTGGCATAAGCCTGTTGTTTCCTTAATGCGGTTGTGATGTGACTTGGTCTGAAGGTGCTGAAGCAAACTCTGCGTTCCTGTGGCTAGGGGCATGTTGTAACACCCTCTCTAGCACAGCTAGGCTGCAAATAAAAGCTGCCGTGACAGGAGCAGCTCAGCACAGCAAAGAGCAAGGGTTAGGCAAAGCCATGACGGATTGTTAGTGCTTGTCCGAACCTCTCGCTCTGGTCCTGGAGTCACCCTCAGGCATGCAGGGAGATCCTGGCCCTGTGACTTGGACATGCTGGCTGGGCAAATCGCAGGCGGGAACAGGACACGTTCCCACGCACAAGCACAAGCAAGCACATGCCTGGCAACCAAGCCCACATCTCACCTGCAGCAAATCTTCTGTCAGGAGCTCGGTTGCTTCTTGGGCTCTGCAGAGGAAGAAGGAGCCATTAGCAGATGGGGTACCCTCGACCTGGCCTGCTTGGGAAGGCAGGTCCTTATTTGTTTCACCTCTCTTTGTTCATGGCTCCAGGGAGCAGAAGATACTGGCTATGGCCTGGACCATCATATGCAAGGTTACAGGCGGAATGAGCCCAGGAGAAGAGGACATCAAGAGCAAGGAAAAGCAGCCAACCTTGCTGGCCAGTGGACTTCCTATCCCCGGAAAAGATGAACGTAAGAAGAGCGGGATGCCCAGACAGACAGGGCAGCAAAAGCATCTGCAGCTGGCAGCTCTCCGAGGCAAGAGTATGATTTCAGACAGGAATCCCAATTCAGAGCATCCAGCTCAAAATGTCTTGACATGGCCTGTTTTTCAGAGACAGGGTCCCTGGCGGGGTACTGCACTGACGGGAATTTTGCTGATGAAACTTCCAAGCTCTGAACACTTCTTCTCTGAGGGTGAATCCAAGTCAGCCTCTGCTGGAGCCCTACACTCATCTTTGCAAGAGGTTTTTCCGGGGCCAGAGTGGCTGGAAGCTGCAGGGTCACCAGTGCTGGAGCAAGGGACACTGGATAACTCTGTGGTCAAGCTGGAAGCTCAGATGAACACCAGCCCCCAGGGGTGACTAAATGAAACCAGCTTTCTGATTGGTTTTGCAGGAAGTATGAAGTAAAATCATTCAAAGGCATCCAGGAAGCCTCTGGTTTGCAGAACATCTTGATGAAAAGCAAATTTAAAAAAAAATAGCTGCCATCACAACCAAACCTCTGTGACTCCCTGTGAAAGGGAAACCTGGCTTTTCAGGCCATGCTCATTGTTAAGTCCCTGGGACCTGCATTTGCTTTCCCTCTGCCCCCACACAAGGACTGCCCCTCTGCCTGGCCAGTTCACATTTCTCTCTTTTCACAGCTTGCAAGAACAGATGTGGGACAAGTCCGTGGAGCCACAGGAAATGGAGGCGGCTAGCTTGAAGGCAGCCAAAGTCATGTGAGATTGCAGCCCACAGAAGACAGGCTTTGCAGTGAGTGAAAAGTTTGCTGTTGGACTGCATAAGCTGGTTGAGACCTTTTGCCCATCAGGCCTTAAACGAAAGGGAGGCACATCCAGTGTAGCTGAGTGGCTCTGCAGCCTCGGAGTGTGGAGACAAAACAGGCTTGGGGCTCTCCTCAGGGGAGAAGAGATGGGAAAGAGGAACCTGCTCCTTTCTGGGAAATGCAAGAAGAGCAAGAGGCGACCGTGCTATGGGAACTGCTTCCCTGTGACAGATCTGCTGGGCTGGCTGAAGGATCCCAGCGGCCCGGTGGACAAGTCTGAGTCCTGCTCAGCCTCCCAGCGGTAGGGAACCTGCCTGTGTACGGGTGGAGGTGGCTATAGGAAGGAGGGGGCTGGGAAGGGAGGGCCCAGCCCTGTCTTGTAATTTCAGTTCTGGGTTTTGCAAGGGTAGAGCTTTGGAAAGTTGGAGAGAAAAATAAGGAAGCAGTGGAGGTGGAACTGAGCTGGAGGAATTCACATGAAACTGTAAGCCCTCCATGGCTTCTCCAAGGATCAGGGGACACAGGGCCCTTGGGCCCAGGATGCCCGCACTGCCAGATCAGGGCTGCTAGCCTGGAGTATCTGGCTCCCAGGGGGACAGGTCCTGGCTGCTAATGCCCTCCCGGTTGCTGCACAGCCAGAGATGTGTGGCAGGGGGGGGGCCCTCCAGCGGGGAGGTCCTTGGGGTCCCTCCCCACCCAACAGCCCCCATTGGCGCCTGCTGGCAGCAGCCATTCAGGCCCTGTTGTCAGAGCCGAGGGGAGCTGGGCATCTCGGCCTCAGCCACGCTGAGCTTGGGAAGGGCCTGTTTCCACTTGGCTGCAATGTTTGTGGGGCCCAAGAGAGGTAGCTGCACTCCCTCGGCCAGGCTTCACAAGTGCAACACTGCCGAGTAACACGGGTGCAGTCTCCCTGCTGCCCCATGGACACCCAGAAGACGAGTTAAGCACAGCCTCTTGGCTTACACTAAAGATGCTCTAAGACTAGGGTTGTTGCCCCATTTTCCTCTTCCCTGGTTACCCCAGGAGGCCAGCCCAGCCCAGGCGCAAACCCTCTGGGCGCTGCACCCTGCCCCCTCCCAGCCCATCAGCCCAGGTCATGGAGAAGTCCTTACCGGCTGGTGAGGCTGGGATGGGACAGCTGCTGCCGCATCCGATGAAACTGCCTCTTCATCATCTTGAGAGATGGGAGGAGACCACAAGAGCTGCTCTGCTTGGCTGTACCCGCTCAGCACTCCCAGACGATGCTTGGCATTGGATGTCCGTGGCCCCTTGGCTCCCAGGGGCTGCTCTGCCCCTTGCTTTTCCCCAAGCACCTCTACCTTCTTACTCCTGTCCTTCCTTCTTCCCTTGTTCCCCCTCTTTCTGTTTCCCGCCTTTTCTCCTCCCTCCTTTCTCCCCGGAGATGCCCTGCCTGGTTTCTCTTCCCCTCTGCCAGACTCCCTCTTTCACTCCCTCTCTTTTTCTGGGTTTCCTTCCTCCTTGAGCTGCCTCTCTGCACCCTTGCTGCTGATCAGGTAAGAGCAGTTCAGGGCTCCTGCTCCGCTCTGTGTTCCTGTCACCACCCCACAAGTATAAATAACTTCAGCCCAGCCTTAAAGGGGAAATATTATTACAGCAAGCACGTAACAAGGCAGGACAAGCACACACTGCTGCAGAGCCCGAGCGAAGGGCCCACGCTCTGTTTCTCGCTCTCTCACCCGGGCTGGTTTTTTTTTTTCCCCTTGCCTTCCCCACCATCAGCAGCGATGCAGGGCAGCCTGTGGCCAAACCAGCTGGCTGAGCAGTGTGCGTGGGGCGTCTGACAAACCTGACAGCTCCTGCCCACTCTTGTCACCCTAACTCTGCTAGTACCCCTTGGGCACCTCTTCATGCTCGTGGGCACCTCTCTAGCCTCTTCCCCCAGGGGACGGACCCTCTGGTGCGCTAATAATGGGAGGAGAACAGCCTACAGCGCTCTGCCTGCCCCCATGCAGCATGGCCGGGACCCCTTCCTCGGCGTGCTACAACATCCCTGAGGCCTCTTCTGTGTCCCCCGCTTTTTCCCTCCCTGCTGTTGCTGAGACTCTCTGGACCCACCACAAAGCTGTGGAAAAGGGCTGTTGCTTTACGCCCTGTGGAGGCCCCCTTCCTCTCCACTCCCCCCTCCTGTGGCAACGCTCATCTGAGCGTGGCGGCTGGGTGAAGCGCAGAGCAGCACCTCCTTTGCACGGTTGCACGGGGACCACAAGCTCTGGGTTCCCAGGCTTGGGTGCTGCTTGCTCTCTGCAGAGCTGAAGCCTCCCGCGGCACCAGGGCTCAGCTCTGGGAGGTGGATTGTTTAAGCTACCCCTTCACTCCTGCTCTAGGAGATATAAACCTCTTATCTCTGGCTACCTGCAGCTGGGACTTTCCTTGCTCTGTGCTGAGAAAGAAGGGAGGGTGCTGTCGGCTCAGTTATGTGGCAGGCAAAGGAACTAGCATCAGAGTCCAGACAGGAAGCGGTCAGCTCACGGGCAGATGAGACAAACAGCAAAGGAAAAAGAGACAGAAGGGCTGCTCCACCTGTACCCTGCAGTCTCCAAACGGGTAGCTCAGGGGGCTCCTGTGGTCTGCTCCTTCACCCGTCTTGGAGGGCGAGTCTCCAGTGAGGGTGCAGCAGAAGCAGTGCTAGCATCTCCCTTTTCAACACCACATTGCTCTAAGCCCGGGGCAGGGTAGAGAAGCACACCTCAGCAAAACCAGCAAAAAGCCCCCTTCATGCTCCTAAGGGGCATCATGCTGACTGAAAGCAGACAAGGGCTTCACAGACCTATTGCAAAGTTGCAAAAAGGCTCACCCAAACCTCCATACAACCCAAACGACTCCCTAGGCAGCACTGCATAGTGCAGCGGCCAACCTGGGAACTCTTTCCTCCCATGCAACATCCTGGTAATTTGCAAGGGGCTCTGTGGACAGATCTGCTCCCACCCCATAGCCTTCAGTCAGGAGAACGTTGCTGCTGCTTCCCACAATGGGCCACATCTCCCTCCACCCCACAGCCCTCACGAGCCTACAACAAAACCGTTCCGAGGAGCTGTTTCTGAGAGGCGGCGCTGGGGAAGAGGAAGTACTGCTCTACAAGCAGCAGCAAAGGCGCCTGCCTGCTAACAGCCAAGCAGGCTGTGCTTGAGCAAGGGGGCACACGGCCCTTCAGGGCCAGCCCACGGGGCTGCTGGGCACCAACCCCTGCCCACCTCCTCCTCCTCCATCCGGGGGTGGGGGTGTTAGAGGGAAGCAGGCAGCACCCAGCTCTCAGCATGGAAGTGACTTGCTCTCAAACAGGAATTGAGAGCAGTTGGGGGACTTCCACGATTCCACTCTCTCCACTTCCGTGGAGCAAGGAAATAATCTGAGGTCCAGGACAGCCAGGGGGATTAAATACATGAGAGCAGTGGTAGGATTTGAGCCAAAGACACTTGAGCCTAGAACCTACCACTCTCAGGGTAGAAGCAACTTCTCTGAAGTCCAGGAGGATGATAGGAAAATGCATTCCCTGGGTCAAAAGGCATGGGGACAAGATCAGGAAAGAACTCTCTTTATTTCCCATAAATACAGCAGATTCTTCGCGCCGGGCGTTTTGTTTTAAATCTTTGTTTTTTTCCATTTACAGAATTTGCACTGAAAATATATACAAGTCTGTTCAAGAACCAAACAAGATCTGCAAAGAAAAAAACCCATATAAAACCCTGAAAAGAGACCAGAAAGGGAAGTAAGACACAGCAGAACCCCAGCATAAAGACCTTGCTTCCCCCTCTCCTCTACCACGCAGCACACCCAGCTCTGAGACCTCTCACCTTCACTGCCCCCAAGCCAAGAACGAGCAGCACCTGATGGCCTCCATCTCACACAGGCTCCTTCTACACCTAGCAAGCTGACACACAGGGCAGTTTGCTCATACCTCTAAAATCAGGCCCAGTTAAAACCAGCTTAGGGAGGAGAAGCAGCTCCTGTGGTCACAAGTCCAGTCAGAATGGGGATTGCTCTGGATGTGCTACCCCCGGTCTCCTCTCTGCCTGCAGATCCCTGCTCTTGTGTCACAGTGATCAAGTGCCTGGACGAGCCCCCTGCCTGCTGCAGGGAGACAGGCCTGCCCACTGCTGCAGGC